TATTTACATCGCAAAGATGTGCGGGGTACTGCCACTGCGCCCGTCATTCTAAATAGAAATTGTTAAGTCCCTTGTGCCTGTAATTTCACCAGCACCTTTCAAAATCGGAACTCAACAATACTCACATTACTGCTTTGCGGCAGAAATAGGTAATGTGGTAGTATGTTGCCTGAACCAACTCTTTCACATAGAGCTCTACTGCTACTAAATAGGTAACTACTTATATTGTATAACAATGTTGTGTTTCCCTGTTCCTTGGGATTAATAGATTAATGAAATTTATATTCTCGACATCAATTTCGGTTGACTTGATATCGAGTCGATACGATATTTTCGCTCAAGGTTAAGTCTTTGTATTAAGGTACATTTTAGTGACGCACTAACAAAGATAGTTCCGAAGTAATCGCACCGCAAATCTTAAATACAACATTTTGCGAAATAATTACGCCCAGTGCCGGCGCTAGGCCTAGTAGCGCCCGGGTGCAATTAATACCCTGGCGACCTTTAGTAGGCACACGATTAAAATGGGATATTCACAGCTATATTTTCCCGAGTGATCGGAAATTCGGGTGCAAATGGTGCAATTGTAAATTATGTAAAAGCAATTGCCCTATTACTTCGCTTGCACCGCGAGGGACACAGGCTCTTCGGAGGCGTCACAAGCTGCGCTTGGCGCCTCGTAGGACCTTGCACCGTCCGTGTGCGATGTACACTACACCATAGGTAAAGCCGGCACTGATTACGCCTGGTGTTTATAATTATGCGGTTTGCAATTTTGTTTGCGGGTTTTGAAAACATTTTCTTGGGAATTACATTGACGGTTTGATTGCTCGCTGGAATTACTGCCTCGGTGGCCGAACGGTTACTATGCTAGACAGCCACTCAGAGGTTCCTGGTTCGATTCCTTGGCCGGCACAAATATTTGTATGGCCTACATTTATTTCTCTCGAGAGTTTCGGTGTAATTTGTGGTTCTCTACCTATGTGTGTGTCCATAGCACCCTCGATACTGGGTTTCCCTATGCGGGGCAATGAGTGCGTTAATATAATTTAAAATAATTCTAAATTAAAAAAGAGATTATTGTTTATTGTACCAAATTATTCAGCACGTGACAGTCCTTTGATTTTGTTAAAGCTGTCCTTTGAAGCAGCGCCATTAGGGCGCCTTGTGAAAGTGTTTGTCCAGAAGTACTGTGCTTACCATATTTATTTCTGCCGCCAAGCAGTACTAGGGTCTGCTTTTGTAAGGCACCGGTAAAACTACAGAGCTGCAGTAAAAAAAACCTACGCAACCACGATAGCATTTCGCCCTAAAGGAAGTCCAATAATAAAGCAGCACATTTTATTTCCATTACGCAAGAGACGCGCAAAGTATAAGATCTTGTGAAAGTCCATTAGAACTAACCCTCAGTTATCTTCCATAGTCGTTAAAAGACCCTTTTATGACGTCTTCGGGAATATTCCAAGCGAATTGTAATGGGCAATTTCGTTCAATTGCAAAGGAAGTGCATCCTTTAGAATGTGACCCCAATCTTTCATCGTGTGCTTCCTTCAATCATCGGGTTGGCGAGAACCGGTTCACGATTGTATTAAACAAGACGCAATCGTGTCAAGTCGTCGAGCGACGCGATGCAGAAAAAAAATTGACTTATCTTCCAGTTTCGTCCAAGGAAGTACTGCCTGGTAATTCCTATTTCTGCCTCCATTAGTTATGACATGAAGGGCAGTGCTGTCGCAGTGCCTTTCAAATTTTTGCAGTTTACGCGTTCCGAATGGCACTGCCACTGTTATGGGTAGACGTGTAGGTTACCACCAGGTGCATAACTTGATCATCCCGTCACTTGATATAATATAAACAAGTTTAGTAATTTTTTATCGATTATTTAAAAAAGGAGGTGATTCTCAAGTCGTCCGTATTTTTTTGTGTACAGGCCCCAAAACCCATTGCTTTGAGCCATTACACAAACGTTCCATGACCTCTTTTTTAATATTACCAAACACGGACGTTATTAAGGACAAGAAAACCAAGTTTATTAACCTTCGCTGTACTACAGTTCGCATTTGATTTGCAAAAGCGGGCTCTGCTTTGAATACAGTTTGGTAATTTTTACGTTAAGGACCGGCCTTGTACTACGTGATTTTGACAAAAACATCCTTAAAATAGAATTCAGGTCACGTTTATCGAGCCCTTCGTTATTTGTGCTGTCTTGCATACTGTTTATGGTTGTTGGGTACATTGTAGAGTGTTTGCCTCGTCAACGGCCATGAATTAGACAGTTGGTGATATATATTTCGTAAAACCAATGATATACTTATCACTAAGCTTCTCATTGGTTTTACGAAATATATATCACCAACTGTCTAGAATATATATAAAAGTAAATATCACCAACAATAATATATATCACCAACTTATCACTAAGTTTCTTATTGGTTTGTTAGGGACGTTTCAATGCAATTCATTAATTTGTTGCTTTAAATGTGATAATTACAATACTTGACGGTAATATTTATTGAATGTTGTTTCACACATTTAACCATTTTTCACATGCAATATATAAACGAAGATTACTTACATGTAAGAATATGGCAAAGTATAAAGTTGTGTCACTAATTTATTTATTAATTATAAATCACATAATAACATTTCTTAAATTGAATTAATTATTAATAATAACAAATAGTTCATTTGTACATTATGCTATGTCACTAAAATCCTATTCGTGTTTTTTTGCATTATAATTCTTTACGTCTTTCATGTTGACATTTCTAAGGCTAAATGGTTTTTGAAAGCGCTTAGTACTTACAACCAAGGTTCGAAGTAATAATTATTATCATTCATAATCAATAAATACACCGTGGTAATTTTTTTCATATTTATAAAATTAATTGGAACTATAAAATCTACCTCTGGCAATGTCGTGCCATGTGTTTGTATCAGAGACGTATCCAAACGTCAACTCTTAGGGTCGTATTCTAGAACTCTACTCAATGCTCAAGTCAGGATTTGAGTATGGTTTAAAGCACTCGAAATCATACTCAAGTCCCTGCCATTAGAGTCGTATTTCCAGTGCTTGTGTTTCCAGTGCAATCCTGACTTGAGCATTGAGTAGAGTTCTAGAATACGACTCTTAGTCTCAAAAAAAATCATAAACGAAATCCTTTTCTCAAAAGATATTTCTTTAGATTTATTTAGTTTTTTTATGATACAAAGTGACGGGACAAACAAGTCGTGCGCCTGGTGGTAAGCGACACGCCTATCCATAACAGTTGCACCGCCACTCAGAGCTTTAAAACACTTAAGATCTGAGGGGCACTGCCACTACGCTCGTCACCCTGAGACATAAGTTGACAAGTCCCATGTGCCTGTAATTTCACCAGCACCCTTACCATTCAAAGCCGGAAAGTAGCAATGTTCACATTACTGTTTGGCGGCAGAAATAGGTAAGGTGGCAGTACTTCCCTGGGCGAACTCTTCCACAAGAAGCTGCTGATATTAAAATGTAAATAAAAATTTTGTCACAGTTTGTCACTTTTGGTCAAAAATTAAAGAGACAAAACTACGAATCAACATAGATTATTATCGAATTATAAAAAAATAAATACCATGATGTTTCGGACTCTACAACCGTAATAAAAACCATTAAGCAATAATGTAAATTGTGTTCAACAAAGTACCTAATCCGTTATATCCAAGAATATTTTACCGTCTAGACCGACTTAAGCCTTGGCGCCACCATGTACCTCAGTCACGAAGTCTCCATAGTAGCATATAGTTTGTATTGAAAACTTGTTCCTTCTTAAATAAATGGCGCCATCCTACTACAGTTATGATGTATCGTGATTTTTTTTTGCATGAACATTTTAATTAATGTATGACCGAATATATATTGGACAAGAGAAATGAACGGGTTGTAAAAAAACTGGTCGTATGCGGGTCATACGCGTGTTACATTTAATGATAAATTCTTCCGCGTTTTATTACTAAATACGAAGGCCTCCGTTCTGGTTCTCTGATTTTTTTTGTCATATCGTAGCATGTACTGCCACCTTACCTATTTCTGCCGCCAACACAGTAATGTCAACATTACTGTATTCCGGTTTGGGTGCTGGTGAAATTACAGGCACATGGGACTTATCAAAAGACGTCTCAGGGTGTCGGGCGCAGTGGCAGTGCTTCTCAGAACTTTGTGATTTAAAGCTCGTGAGTGGCACTGGAACTGTTATGGACGGACGTATCGCATACCACCAGGCGCACGATTGGTCGTCTCGTCATGTGTCACTTAGTATCAAATAAAATTTTACTATGTAGATCATATAGTATTTATTATAAAATGAATTTGGTTAATTTTGAATCGCTCGTTGTTTTCTATATGCATTTCGGGGTGGGGTTACATAATTCTTTAAAAATTATATTAAAAATAAAAACTCATAAAGATACTTCATTGACTTACAATTATATGGACGTCGGGTCCGCGCTAAAAAGTGTCCGAACTTATAGGGCGTTAAAATCGTATACAGAGCGTCATTCACGCTTTAGTCTTCGTTTGTTCGACTGACAGCGAAGCAAGCAAAATTAGACAGTACTGCGATGACATTACAATTTCAATTCAACGTTTTAGCTTTTTCATATTCCTTTACATGTCACTACGTTTAATTACTACGTTAAATAGGTTGACTTGGACATTTTTTTCGTGGTTTGTGTATTAGACCCGTCGTTCATATATTTGTAAGTCAATGAGATACTTCGACATTTTACAAGAAAACCGCAGTATTATATACCAATGATTTTTTAAATATCGACTGTACTAAATAGAATACGTATTCTATACGATATACATTTTACAAATGGCTTTAATATCGTTATGTAAAAATTAATAAATTCGGAAATAAGGCCAGTGTCTCTGTCGCTCGACCCGCGCAATAGAATCGATTCAGTATGGGAAAAATGTGAATACGAACTGAGGTAGTCGAGTCTTAAACGTCTTTTCTTTTGCTCAGAATGGCCTCCTTTCTTCTCTGCCGTACCTTGGCAAGTACCTGTGCGCCTTGGCGTCGTCAGTCCTCGCCGACTCGCTACGCAGGAGTGGACGGCTCTCCACCACAGCCGCCAGGAAGCTGTTTACTGGATTTGCTGTCGGATTACCAGGTGAGTTATAGCATTCTAATTTAGTGGGTATTGCACAACATGAGTCCGGTGTATTGTGTTTGGCTTGGTGGTTTTCTGTGTTGATATAGTGGCGCCTAGTTTTCGTAGTCACAGTCCTCCTCCTCCTGGAATTATAGTGTTCTCTTGGATTTGCTGAAGGCTTCTTAACCCTGTAGCTGGCCACTCCGGAGCATTATAACAGGATATGTGTGGCTGTTTCCTCCTCCGTGCACGCTCTGCACCGAATGCACAGTAAAATTTTCGTCGACCCGGTGGGACTTCAACTCATGTTCATGCTGCACCGTAGCATTGCTCTAACCACTGAGCCACGGGTCCAGTTACCGAGTCGGCGAAGCTCCCCTGTGTAGTTTAGTAGCAGTAGAACTTCTTGTGAAAGAGTTCGTCCAGGGAAGTACTGCCACCTTACCTATTTCTGCTGCCAAGCAATAATGTCAGCATTACTGTGTTCCGGTTTTGAAGGGTAAGGGTGCTGGTGAAATTACAGGCACATGAGATTTGTCAACTTATGTCTCAGGGTGACAGGCACAGTGGCAGTGCCCCTCAGATTTTGTGACTTAAAGCTCTGAGTGGCAGTGCAACTGTTATGGACAGGCGTGTAGCTTACCATCAGGCGCACGACTTGTTGGTCCCGTCGCTAAAGATTATAAAAGAAATGTGTTTTTGTTGTAGATCTTTGTACTGACTTTCGGCATTCATCGCTAGTCTAGTGACATCTAGTGAGAGATTTTAGAATAACCTTCTAACCGCAGTCGATACCTTTACAGGTATCGCAGCTGACGCAGGTATCGCTTGTTGATCAAAATTGCATTTATTGAAAATTTTTTGTGAAAGAACTCCACTATTTTTGTTATGGTTAATGAATAAATACAAAGATCGAACACAAAAATTAACGAAAAATTTGAAAAATATTGTGGAGTTTTTTTTTGTTATTATATAATAGACACACGCTTGACCACAATCTCACCTGATGTTAAGCGACGATGTGACAGACGATGGAACGCGTTTGTCTAAAAATGCCTATTCACTCTAGCCTTGAATAGCCCCAAACTGTAGTTTTCGGGAAATACAGATGCCGGAAGAACATTCCATCCCTTTGCCGTACGCATCAGAAAGGAGGATGCAAAGCGCTTAGTGCGAATAGGTGGAATATCAACGACATAAGAATGGAGTGCTCCGGACCTTCTAGTCGACCGAAGGAAGAACGGTGAGGGTGAAACTAAATTGAAAAGTTCCTGCGCACACTCCCCAAAATGTATCCGATAGAAAACCGACAAGCAGGCTACTTTTCTGCGATTGTCGAGATTTTGAAGCTTCAACTCCACAAGAGAATTGTTGTTAATAAGTCTCTTTGCTTTTCGATCCACCGAGTCCAAGGCAGCTAACTGGTAATAGGCAGAGCCGTCCCAAAGGTGGCAGCAGTTCTCCATACACGATCTAACTTGTGCTTTATACAGATAATTCATTCATCAGTGTACATTCATACACAAAAAAAATCTCTATAAATAGATTAAAACAGGTGGTTAACACCGTGACATATATCACATGGTTCCAGGTGTTCTGATGCTGGCGCAGGCGTTCTTCGGCCACGACCGCGTGTGGTCAATGGCCATCTTCACCATCGCGCTTACTATCAACGGTGCTGTTACTGCTGGTTACCTCGGCAACGGGCTCGACATTGCTCCTAGCTTCAGTGGTCAGTTTTTTTTGTATAATTTTAATGTCTCGCCCTTAAACGGTAACGTGTCGCGATTGAAAAAGTAACATCTATGGGGTAGTAAACAAAAAGAAATTTCTGCGAGCTGAGGTAGTATCGACACTTAATAGGGTAATTGAATATTTAAAAAAATACCTTGATCCCTAGACACTTTTGATGTGTGGATTAACTAACGACCTTGTTGAAATTTAATTTAAAATTTACCATTAGCTTTTCGGTAAAGGTTCACAACCTGCATTGGGCCAGCGTGGCGGACTATGGCCTAAACCCTCGCCTGAGAAGAGACCCATGCCCAGCAGTGGGAGATATAGATTGGTTGATGATGATGATGGTGACCCAGTGTAATCAGTGTTTGTAGGACACAAACTTTTCTAAACTCCCTTAGGATTTTCTGGGCACCCTGGAGTTAATTTCTGTACTGCAGTGACCCATGACCAGACGTGTACATTGAAATATTGTTTCGCAGGGACGATATTCGGCATGGCAAACACGCTGTCGTCGTTCGGTGGATGGCTGTCCACTTTTATGGTCGGCGAACTGACCAAAGACAATGTAAGTATTTAAAATAACATCTTGAGCAAATGCAATAAAAACATAACTTTGTTATAAAAAAAAAAGACTACAAAAGTTCGTAGAATTACATCGATTTGTCAAGTTTTATTGAAATCGGTTACCGGAAAGTGCGCGAAACCGCATTCATCCCCTAGTTTGCCACCCTTAGAGGGGAATATTTTCTTCAAATTTAAATGGGACCAACACTGGGATCAAAACTAGAATGAGACTCAAAATCTACTACTGCCATGCTACTACCAAACAGTCGCATACGCAGTCCACACATATACACCTTATTTTCTATATTGCTGAATATTTCCTTTGTTAATTTAAGGCCGTGTTCACGCGTCTTCACTTGCGTTTTTCGTTTGCTTGCGTCTGGGCATACGGCGTAGAAATCTGCCTTCCGGCAAAGGCGTCCACGAGTCACGTTCTGCATTGCGGAGAGATTTGCGCGCATGCGCGGCATTGTGCCTTTGATTTGTAGTGAATGCTGCTGCTCTATGATTGGCCAGTGGTGCTGTCCTCCGTAAACGTTCCAAAGAAATCCAACGCACAGCATACGGCCGGGCGGTGCAAGCCAGCGACTCGTGAACAATCCTGCCTGCGCGTACGCGAAAGATTTTTGCGTATGCGCGAAGCGAGTCACGCAAGCAAGCGAAAACCGCAAGAAAGGCTCGTGAACCCGGCATAAACCTTGCTCCAATTCAGTATGTTTGTAATTTGTACTCAAGCAGCTCAAATGTTGTTATTTCAAAGATACAGGCGTTCGGAGCGTAGGGTTGTTACATTATTATTTTAGTTGTACATATTGGTTGTAATCATAATAGACACTTATGGACAGGCGTGTCGCTTACCACCAGGCGCTTGACATGTTCATGGTGTCTTAAAAAAACTTGCTTTTTGGTTCTGTATTGTCATTGTTTTTTTTTATGTAATTCCAGAACACCTACGGCCAATGGCAGATTGTATTCTTCATCTTGGCAGGCACGTATGTCGCCGGCGCTCTCGTCTTCATATTGTTTGGTTCTGGGGAATTACAACCGTGGAGCCAGGGCACGCAGAAGCCAAAGGAAGAAGAACGTTTGAACGACCAAACCGCGTGAAGCGAGAGGTCAGGGTATATTGGATGAAGTTTGGGAAGGTTCATAATGCTCCTTGTGAATTTAGAGGTTAATACTGTTGGGAAAAATCGTTATTTTTTTTATAGATAATAAAAAAATATTTTATTGTTTTTTTTTCGATAATTTTACTTATTAAAATAAATTATTAACAATTATTTTCACAATTGCATTATAATTTCCAAGAAATTTGTTTTCACCTTAATTTTCCCAGAACTTCAGCCAATAAACAAAAAATTGCAAAAAAAAAAATAAAGAGAAGACGAGACTGAATTTGGGTTTTGTACCTGTTTAAATAAAATAATAGGAACAAAACTAGATAAAGTCGGAGATAACCAGTAGTTGGATTTATTAGTCATATACAGGTTGAAAAGTTTACAATAAAAAAAAATATAGATATTTTGAAATTGTAAGCTCTTCGTGTTTCTTGATTCTCAGTCAACTTTGATGACAATGCGAGTACGATTGCTTTTCGATTGAGGAATTCCTGTAGCGGCACGTACACAAAACTTTAGCTTCTAACTTACGTAAATTTAATATTTTGTAGCAATATCTCTCGCTGATAATGTAGGAAAACGTAGTAACTAAACGTGTAAAGTCTACCTATAATGGGCCACTATGGCGGTCTATGGCCTAAACTTTCTCCACATAGGAGACCCGTGTCCAGCAGTGGGACGTACATAGAGTCTTCCCTGTCTTAGCTAACCGATTAAAATTTAACTAATTTTTTTTAAGGCGAGGAATTTCAATGAGAGGGTCAGTTTTTGGGAGGTGAGGTCGTCATGAAGTGAAATATTCTATCTACGATATTTAAAATATTTTGTCTCCAAGACATCATTATTGGTGAATGTTCGATTTCGAAAGCCGAGGAAGAACTCACATCTGACTTAGTTACGACAAACATATCGACTGTGAACTGCCAATCGGTACTACCATTTTGACAACTTTACAGGATGAAGAAAAAACTGTTTGCGACATTTATATAGCATCTGATTTATTAAATAAAAATACGTAGTTTTTAAATATTTTCATTACACATACGCTACCGGTTGGCAGTTCACAGTCGATATCTGATACGTCAGTTATTGAGAAGAATAACGACATTCCGTAAAGACAAATAATCCCATCCCATGTACAATCTTTCAACATCATTATTCCTGTCGATATACGTTAATTACTGGACATAAAGGCCTCCCTCAAAGACAACTCGCGTACTTCATAATCAAAGTTGATTCCAGGATCAAGAAATGTGTATAAAAGAAATAAAAAATATAAAAAAAACTCAAAAAACGGCTGTTAATGTTAAAGATTGTGATGTTTTAAAAGTACCGGCTCGCGCAAAGGACTCACGATATACATAATTGTAATTATTTAATAACTTATTTATTATACTACGGCTACGTTTTAAGAAAGTTTGTTTCTAACATTACAAAACGGATAATCGCGGTGAAACTATTTAATAATAATATGATTCAATTTACAATGCTGCGTAAGGGAATGGAAGTGATTTTTATAACCACAGCGAAATAAACTTTTTTTAACAATTTTGTAACGTACCTACAATTTAGATACGGCAGAAGTCTCGCAACAACCATATCGTATCTAATTTGTGCGTTACACAATTGATATAAGATTTATTATGCTATGTACAATTTCGTTATAAATATTCGCTTCCATTACATTCCGCAGCAATGTAAATTAGAGCTTCATAATACAGAGCTTTCTCTCATTCCAAAGCCTTACCATCGGGCAATCCACGTGCTTTAATTTGGTATTTAGGAGACCACTGATGCTGTCCTCCTCGCGTGTATCACCTAGGCTAACCGCTTCGGTAAACATAACTGACGTACTATAAAACTGGGACAAGCCCAGCAGTATCCTAAAACCAATACTACCCCGAGGGTTCGGCCAGGTGGCGCTGCCCAGTCAGCTCGTGAATAGTCACGAGCTGGCTATAGAGCCAGTGCTACCAGGATATTAGGTAGGTGTTACAAATGCCTATTAAATTGTTGCTTATCTCCTTTTTGTAATGTTAGTATAACGGCATAAAAGTTCACACGTTTTTGGTCTGTGGTATATTGCGATTGGTCACTCGACCGATCTATTTACGGCAATTACAAAGCACTGTTGAAAATTTTAGCACAATTTAAAAATGCAATTTTTTTATAAAGATTTTCTACAAAATTTGAAAAATTTCTCCTAATTTTGTATCTTAATGTTGCTTGTAAGCAACGTATTCTAATAAACAGTATATTACTGTTCTTTGTTGTTCTCATAAAATTTTCAAAACAATCTTTGTTACTTTACACTAGCTATTTGTTAAGTTTATTTATGAGGTCTTATTTCTTTTTAACTTTGCAAATTAGTGTAAAATAAAATTTTAGAAGAATTAGGAGTCCATACAACTTGAAATGGCTTTGATTGATTCCGCAAAACAGTGAACGTGTTGAATCAATCAGTTTGGAAAAAATATGTAGTAAAATTGAGGTTATACACTGATTCTGTACGGCGTGAAAACAAGATACCTAAAAATTTTCACGATAGAAAAAAATGACACAAACTTACCTCGAAAGGACTTGTACCGAATTAGTATGGTGGTTGGTACTTTATTCCCAGAAAAATTTAACCAGCCTCAATTTTTTTGCTAGATATAAGCTTGAAATAAAGAGCTTAGCAAAACAATTTAAAAAAAATGCTGTGACCTGCATTATTTATTTATTTAAAACAAAGTGCTTTAGATATGTTAAATTAATTCCAGCAACACAGTGACACTAAAAAAGGTTCAAAAAGCAGCAACACTTAAACGCAAAAATATTTAAAATCTTATTTGTAATTGGTTAATTAAATTGCAACAAGAATGGCTTTGACATCTGATCTGTCAATATTTTTTTATGGCATTGGCCACTTGGCTCAATAGCCAAAAAATTACATAAAAACCCTTTCCATTTCGTGGGATTGCGTTCAGTTTTACTTTACATAACGGTTTTCTGAAAATTGCAGATCAAAAATAATTTGTTTTTAATTCAGACTTTCTAGATTTTGTGACTTCTACAAAAAACCAACTAATAACCTGGTTAAATTTTCCATTTATGTTAGTACCACTAAAGGAACAACTCCTTTTATAAGATTGCCTGTATTCAATAGGTCCTTATACATATACTAATGTTTTTGTTTTCATATCAACTGAACTAAATAGAACACGTAGACTGTACGAACTACATTTTTCGAAAGCTCTAATTTCGATTGTGAAAAAAAAATTCTGAAATAAAGCTAGCGTCCCTACCGTTCGACGCAAGCAAAAGGAACCATGTTAGTACGGGAATAATTTTAATTCCAGCTGAGTTAGTATCAATTCTTAACAGCTTAACAAGAACTTTTCAAATGTATAGTCAGTGCCAATACCTCTTCTATGCCGCTGCCAGTGGTACCATTTTTATTTTGTGTACCATTTTTATTTAAACTGCCTCCGTGGCCGAACGGTTACCATGCCGGACTGCCACGCAGAGGTCCCAGGTTCGATTCCCGGGCCGGGAGAAATGTTTGTATGGCTTACATTTATTTCTCTCGTGAGTTTGGGTGTAATTTGTGGTTGTCTATGTGTGTGTCCATGGCACCCGCGACACAGGGTTTCCCTAGTGCGGGGCTATGTTGAATGTGTGCGTTATTATTATTATTATTATTATTTTTAGTCCATCGTACACGAGGTACGTCGATGTAACAATTTTATATAAAATTGCAAACTTGAAGCAGTTATATTTCCAGAAATTTAAATTACGCTAAAATTTTTGTTAATAAAAAAGCCGTAGTTTAATAAACCTTACATCAATGGATTATCAAAAATCGCAACCCAATCACAAAATAATAATGTAAGTATTGGTTTTTGATAAACTACTTGATGGTTAAGTATAGGGATCGGCTGTAAATTCTTTTGCCCTATTCACTCACTATGTTAAAAAAAGGATCTTAGTGATATTTTATGATTACGGTAAGGACGGTAGGGACGGTAAATCCAAAGCTTTAGAAGATACAAGGAAACTGTCTTAAAAACCATTAAGTCTTTTTTTGTGAAATAATTATGGCATATCGAGTTCTTAGGTTTTCGCGATTGTTACACATAGGAAATGAAACTATTTTTCCGGAATTACTAAAATTAAAAATAATGTATTAATTAATAACTTTTGTAACTATAGTGGAAATAATTGGGTGATTTGCATTAGTATTAGACATAACTGGTTGATGACTGTACCACCTCAGTCAACCGTGACAATGGGACTTGTAAGGGGGCCGAAACAAAAAATTTTTCATTTCCAATTATGGCATAGTTGATTTTTTTTTATCAAGGGTGAGCTGTCGATAAAAATCAATAAAATTGATCACAATTTTTTTAGAGCTGATCGATTCGGTTTTATGTAAGGATCATTTCGGGACAGTATGACAAATTTACGTGATCACAATGTCTATTAACTCGACTGTCGACTCTGTTATATTATCATAGATCTGCCGTCCTTTAACTAAAAAGCCGCTAAGTGAAAAAATATTTTTTTCACATAACCCAAAATATTGAAATTGTTTAATGATATCTCAGCTACGTATCGTTCGGGTAAGTTCCGATAAGTCGAACACATTAACTAAATTTACCTGTTCTTAAAAGAGAATTTTGTGAACTTTATCCTTTGCTATTTGAAACAGATATTTGACCATTAAACGATACCTTCAATGAACACTAAGCCAACTTAATTTTTGGACCTGCTCTGTTTTTATTTTGTTTTTTGTTTCTTTTTTTACAAAATTCGTTTTTTTTGTTCTTGTTTCTTTTTTTCACAAAATTCGGGGAGCACAATTAAGATTATATTTATATTAAGCAGCCATACTTACTAAGGCAAATAAATATGGCTGTTTACAAAAATAACAGAAGATGACCAAAAAATAAAGATGGCGTAGTGTTCATTGGAGGTATTGTCACTTAACCGCGTTTTAGTAGGTGGAGGGCAGAGTAAGGTCCATTTTGATAATAAATATGTGAGAAGAAATACGGTAAAAGAATTAGCAGTAAGCCAA